GAGCAACAGGATAAAAAATTGTTCTTGTTAATTTCTGACATGGTTGTACTGCACTCTAAAAATGGGAATACTACATTGAAATGAACCAAATCAAGCAGTAATGCAGATTGTTTAATTTCGATGTTCTAAAAGAACTGCAAACGTTCTATATTCACATAAGTTGTGATTCTATTTTCACATTTGTAATGCAATCCAGACAAGAGTATGATGTTATTCAAGTTGAGCAAAATATCATGCATTTCAGAACAAACATACCAAAAACCTGTTTGATTAAGGATTCAATAACCTGACACCCTTACAATATATATATATATATATATATATATATATATATATAGAGAGAGAGAGAGAGAGAGAGAGGTATAGAGATGTATAAATGTGGGTCATTGTGAATTTTTTTCAATATTAAAATCCGTTCAATGGTCATATGTTCACTAAAAAAAGTTAGATGCTTCTTTCTTTTTATCTTGATTATTTAAATATGTATAATTTTCAAGTCTCACAGTAAGTATTCTCATTTAATACACATTGAATTTACCGGTTTGTGCTTGAAAATCATGTTTTGGAGAGCTCTAAAATCATGACCCCAAAAAAAACTATAATTATGAACTACTTACCACAAGTCTAGACTATAATTAATGTTATTGTTTCTGATTGGGATCTGTTGAATGTTGATTAGCGTGGTTGTACCCAAGTTGAGGTTTGTGTTCCAGTTTGGTTTTATTCCATTTATTTGATTGTGGGTATGCTTAGATTTGGATATGTTGGTTGTTTCTGATGGGGGTTTGGTTTAAATGGGGTTTGTTGAGTTTCTTAGTTGTGATGGCTACTTGTTTGTCCTGAGATGGTGTTTTGCCTTGTACCTGGTAATGTACGTATTATGTCATTATGCTTGCTAAATTTTCATTCAAAGCCTAATGTTGATGTGTAGACGATCTAGTCTCTTAATATGTTGTGATTGTCTCAAGTTTTCATTATGTTATTATTCAGTTGTTTGGATTGTGTGGTTGATTACCATGAGGCTATTAGTATGGTTTGCGTTTGAACGTGCCGTGTAATTTCATATGGGGAAGCTTCATAAAAGATAGAAGGATAAAGGGAAGGAAGTGACTCCTCATCCAATTTGAAGATCTTTGTTAGTAGGTAAGTAATTACCTTTGACTTTTCTATATTGAATTTTAAATAATGATTGATTAGCTGGCTATGGATGCCTTGTATTCAGTGAGGATTGGGGGCAATAAATGTAACATGTAACATGGTTAGTCGAAGGATTGATTTGTTTGATTATTTTGTTCAATTTGTTTGCATTGATTCAGGATACATATTACCAATCATCATTTAAAATTGATGAATATTTTGTATTATAATTGATGAATATCAATTTATGATGAATATTGTTAGTTTTGTATCTTCATATATTATGAAGATGAGATTAGTTATTTAGTTATTCTAACCTTATTGGCTAAGAGGTTTACATGAGTCCTACATGGAATAGCCTTCAAGTTATTATATTGGTCATTACCAAACACTTGTCAAAATCCTTTCTAATTTTGTACTTTAATTAGTGTAACATTAAAGTTCATATTTTGTAGAACATGGATCAATTTCATGCAAATCGCTATTGGATGTATGATCGAAGCCATAGTAATAGAGATGGTTTAAAACAAAGTTTTGTTGATGGCGTTGAAGAGTTTGTCATGAAAGCTTCTCAACAAGTTTGTTATCAAAATGAAGGCCAAACGAGATGTCCATGCAATAAATGTCAATGTACAAAGATCTTGCCAATGGAAATGGTTAAACTTCATCTTTATAAAAATGGTTTCATGCCTGATTATTATGTTTGGGTTGATCACGGTGAGGAAATGCCTCATGCTAACAAAAATTGGACACATGCTTCAAGTAGTGGGTTACATTTTTCAGAAGATGAGTCATTGATGGCAATGCAGGACATGGTGTATGACGCACTTAGGCAACATGAAACATTTCAACCACCAGAGTCAAATATCATGGAAGAGCCTCCAAATGAAGAAGCTCAAAGATTTTATGATTTGTTGTTGGAAGCGAATAAACCTTTGTTTGAAGGTGCTTTAGACTCCAAACTGTCCATATGTGTAATATTGTTAGCTTGCAAATCTAATTGGCATGTTCCTGATCACGCTTTAAATTTCATTATAAAAATGCTTTTGGATGTAACACCCAACAAAAATAGTTTACCAAAAAACTATTACGATGCGAAGAGGTTAGTTTCAAAGTTGGGATTAGAGGCTAAAAGGATCGATTGTTGTGTTAATGGTTGTATGATTTTTTATGACAATGATTACGGGAAAAATGATGGATCTTTGCTTGCAATGCAAATTTTGTCACAAGCCAAGGTATCATGCCCCAAAAGTTGAAACTCGTAAAAATAAACCAATTCGATTAAGAGCATGTTCTATTTACCTATAATTCAGAGGTTAAAGAGGTTGTATGCATCCATGAAAACGGTTGGACAAATGACATG